CTTAAACCTCACAATTTATTTAGGCTGTAAGCAGCTGATGAGAAGCCGACGAAATAAATGATGGTACCATATTACTCTGCACAAACCACTGTTGTTCTTGCTTTATTTAAATTCATCAAGGGGAATAAATGCATGAAGTTAGCTAATTAGTTAGTGATTTAGTTATTTTGTAGGGGAACAAAGAATTTCATCAAGCCAATCGAACCTCAGCAGTTTCATCGCCTAGGATCAATTTATTTATCCACTTATACGCTCTCTCTTAAAATCATCATCAATGAATCTATCTTTCAGAAGCCATAAGAGACAAATTCTCCTTTTGCTAGTTGGTGAGGTATTAAGAGCAGTCTGAACACCAATTTAGGTGAGCAGGGTTACAGAGTAAACAGGTAGTGTAGCTAAAGCTCGGGTTTAGCATAATTGGTAGTCACACATCAATTGTGAACGTTATACCTAGTCAAAACCAACTGGAAGCAAGTTCATAGTCATTCAGGTAACCTATCTAACTGGTTTCTTAGAAGTTATTCAGTCAGTTATTTTGTTTGTTTGTGAGGTAATTGCATATTGATGCTATTTGCTTACGGACATTCATTACATCCTCTCACTGATGTTTTCGATGAATCATTTCCCACTAACGTTGTGACCACTTATTGGAAGGATGTTGAAGTTGTTCCCGTATCTCAATGAAGTGGATCAAGTCTTAAGTTAGGACTTATGGCTGTACCCTCACAGTTTTCAAAATTAAATAGGTAGAACTGCATTTACTTAAACTTGAACCTTCATTGAAGGTTTTTAACGATCCTTATCAATTTGCTTATAAACATAGTAGATGTACATTAGGTGGTACGGTTAGCTTACATTATAATAATGTCTTTAGTTTTGGCAGAGGTGCCAAATATGTCAGTTGTGCCTTCCTTGATTACACATCTGCCTTCGACTGTGTACCTAGGCCTCTTTTGTTAAGCAAGCTAGCTGCTTTACAAGTAGAGTACTGGATTACCAAGTGGTCGAGTTCCTATTTTCCTGATACGAGGCAGTACACTGTTTACAATGGGAAGTCCTCCACTGCTTGCTTCACTTACTCTAGCTGGTGTTCCTTAAGGAGCTGTTCTTTCTCCTTTTCTGTTTTCTTTCTTCTTACTTGATTTGCCCCATTCTGACGAACCATTTCTATGCTTGTTACTTCTCACTCAGACAGTGCGAAAATAAATAACCTTTTATCAGAAGGTAGTCAGTGTTCATTTTCAAATGGTCCTAAGCTTAATCCCTTTGAATGTCAGGTTGTTTGTTACACTTTCAGAAACAAGCATGACTTGAATGAACTGGTCCGTTCCAGTTATTCCCATGTCATATATGGAAGGGAATTTGAAATACCTTCGACCGTGGATTTCCTCTGATCATCATTCCTGGTTTTGACACGCCATGCTGCTTTCCAGAAAGATATTTCGTTTAACCTTCTACGTAAGGAAGTTACGACAGTCCTTATTGTTACTGTTTGTTAATTCTTGTCGTCTACCTATTCCTCTTTATTTCCCCCCCCCCTTAATCTCTCCTGAGTGACTATAGAAGAGTGTATACTCCAAAGAAAACACATTTTATGTGATAAGGAGAGTGTTAGACATGACGAAACTACTAAGCTACTGAGAAACACTAAGTAAACAACCCTTTTCATTCCGCCTTTCATTAATAAATACTGTCGTTTATATTTCCACTTTAGTTTTTAATTATATTCATATTCCTATCTAACAATTTTACCAGTGTAAGTGTAATTATGTAATCGTTAGGTAACGTGAAGAAAAATTTAGGTGCAGTATTGTCCACATTGTAAGTACTGCTTCGAATAAAGACATTATTATTATGAGTTTGATCACGGGGATTGATTTCAGTTAGAGAACCAATGAAAGCCAGCACTGGAGTACTGGACAGCTGTTTCATCCTGGTTTGGGAATCATTGACAGTATGCACCCACTGAGGTTGGAACCCAGGACCTTCGTATACCATTCAGCCACTAAGACCCGAGTCAATGGTCTAACCAGTCAAAGGCCAGCCCATGAATTCTAACTTCTATCAATTCGTGGTTTTTTCAGTATGACCAACAACCAATGTAGCTGGTAGAAAATCCATCCTTACTCCCGACTAGGTGGACCACACTGGTCACTAATTCTCACTAGAACTAACTCCAGTCAGTCACTAGCGAACATCAAACTAATTTAGACAAAGCAATAAGAAGACATAATTTGTCTGAATCGTGCGTGTAATGTATTTGCTCACCATTTATTTCGAACAATTTGATCACATACACACACCGACTCGTCACAGGAATGTGTATGCATGAATGAAATTAATAAAGAGTTAAGAGGTGAGAAATGGAAATAGACTTAGTTAAGTCAAGTTGAAAGGACATATTGAAGGTGAAAATAACAATGAAAATCAATCACTAAACCAAATAACAGAGGGAATAGTACATCTGCTATGGTATCAAGTAAGGGCTTAAGAGTATAATCCTAAATGGCTCCAGAAACAGATAGAAACTTGAGAACCTATTAATGGTGGGGAGAGACGACGACCCAGCTTCTCTACTGTGAAACATATTGTAGAGGAGACAGGACATGAAATCGACATTAAGACATCTTTTAAACCCACCCATCTATAAAAGGTGTTTGGGGGAGGACGTATCCTAAAGTTTGTGCAAGGAAGTCCTAACTGGCAATTAGGAAGTTTAAACCACCTTTATGCGTTCAAAGGAACAACTCGTCATCATCACACTAAACCACCTTCCTTGGTAAACTGTGTTTTGATACCAGCCAGGGTGGATGCACTATTGATTACCTCTGTTATTTGGTTTAGTGATTGATCTTCATTGTTATTTCCCCCTTCAATACGTCCTTTCAACCTGACTTAACTAAGTCTATTTCTATTTCTCACCTCTCAACTCTATATTGATTTCATTCATATATACACATTCCTATGACAAGTCGGTGTGTGTATGTGATCAGATTGTTCGAAATAATTGGTGAGCAAATGCATTACACACGTGATTCAGACAAATTACGTCTTGTTATTTTTTTGTCTAAAATCAAGTTAATTGTCAAGAATTGTTTTGTAAGGATTAGATTTGTTATTTTGAGCTTGATCACGGGGATTGGTATCAGTTAGAGAACCTAAGGTAATATACATATATATATATATAAGTCGTAAAAGGTCAGAAGCTCGATTACGTCTTCCATCAGTAGCTAAGGCGGTGGCAATCATTACCGGAAGACTGTCACTCTTTGTTTACAGATTAAGTATGTTCAACCAGGTATGAGGAGAAATACTCGCTGATAGCGGAGGCCCTATCAATTAAGAATTAAAGTAGTTAACAGTTCAGAGGCCACTGAATTCCTTCCACATGGCTCGATGGTCAGTGAGCTCACCTCGTAAACTGAAGACTGGATCCTCGATTAAAAGGGTAACGAGTGTGCACTACAGAAGAGCTTGGAACTAGGATAAAAGATATTTTCAGCCTCTTTTCATTCTCAGTGGTTCTGTAACCGCTTTCAATCTATATTTTAACATAAAACCAATCAGAACTCTTCAAGCCTACACGTATGTCAACTCTGATTATGTACAATAACAATACATATATAAACCATTTCAAATGGGTCTGTACTTGGTGGAGATTCCCTTATGTTCTCCTATCTTCTGCAAACCAAACACCCTGAAAATAAGGATAAAATTATCTAGTTTTTGTGTACGTAAACCGTTTAGTATCCACTAAAGTATGAGTTTCATTCAATGTTTTTTTTTCATCCAACATAAATGTACAACAAGGAAGCTAAAACAAAGCCGAAAATTAAATTTCTGTAGTTGGTTTGTAAGGGTTAGTTTTGTTTTTACGAGTTTGACCATGCACGAATTGATATCAGTTAAAGAACCATTGAAAACCTGCATTGAAGTGGATTACTAGACAGTCAGGTGTTTTATCCTAGTTTGGAAATCATTAGCAGTATGCACCCACCACAGTGGCGTTCGAACCCAGAACCTTCCGGTTACAAGGCAAGCTGGCTCGTATACCATTCAGCCACTGGGAACCAACCCGGTTCAGTGGCCACCCCATGAACTCTAACTTCTACCAATTCGTGGTTTAGTGTGGCCCCAAACAATGTCGTCGGCGGGATATCCATCCTCCTGGGTTCCAACCCCAGTGGGTGCACACTGCCAATAATTCCCAAACTAGTATGAAACAGCTGTCCTGTACTCCAATGCTGTTTTTCAATGGTTCTCTAACTGACATCAATCCATGATCAACTCGTAAAAACAAAAAGTAAATGTTACATAAGCAGGGATAAGATCCTGACAAAGACATCTAAGGGAACACCAAGTTAGTGGAGATATACCTTAATGGTCTAAACACTTAGCTTCTAACTACTGGGTCACAGGTATGAGTCCCATTTAACTTATTTTTATCATTATTTATTCCATTGGATTCTAAGTAGAACATAAGGCTTCAAAAGTACACTCACATGTCATGTTATTTCTTGAAATCCTCGTTTATTGGGTCTGTGATTGCCCATAGGGTCTTGTATCCCTGGTTTCTCCTTTAGAACCCAGCCCAAATAGTCGTTTCTTATTCAATTCTCATTCGTCGGCCAATGTGGTGAGCGGTGTGATTCAACGGTCACCTCTTGTGTGTCCGAACCATTCCAATTTTTTGCCGAAATATATAATGAGCGTCAGTGGCACAGAGGTAGAATGCTCGCCAGCCACGCCACAGGTGTGGTTCGTGGTTCGATCCTCGACTACTGGACACATTCCTTTAACTCGCTCAGCCAGTAACAAGACTGGTAAATAGGGAAGGTTGTGCATGACGCGGCTAGCAACCACATTCCGTAAAAACAAGCACCACTACTACTGAAATTTCAAGCCTCTAGATTGAAGTCCTATGTTCCACCACTGGGTACGTAAAGGAATAAAAAAATAATTCAGTGACGTATGAATTAATATACATAGAGAAAACTTACTTAAAAGAAACTGACTGCATAAATTTTTCGTTTCTGATAAATTAGCTTGTAAATATGAGATACAATCAAGCGGTATGTGTGATTCTGGATGCATATTTGCACTATAGGCAAGAATTTTTGGTTTGTAGATATCTGCAAAGTAGAATTCAAAGAGAGAGAGAATTAAATAAAAGATAATTTGAATTTCGAATCATTATTTGTATATATAACTTTGGAATGATATGGTTAAAAAGACTATAATTTCCACGGAACAAAAATTAACAAAATCTTTGAAAGAAACGAATCATATTTTGGAATTTCCTCAAGATATCCATAAGCATATAATTAATTTATCTAACTGCACTCTATCCCAACTACAGTTGGAAGCATTATCTTATGGATTGAAGTACAAAACTATCCCTATGAAAATAAACAAAATGGAAGTTCAGTCACAGTATGAAAACCTTTATGATCAAATCTCCGATTTAACTCCTTCTAGTAAAGATAATCTTGACTGGTTTAAAGTTCAACTGGTAGACATTTCTCACCAATTTCTAAATGCTAGAATACACCAGAAAAATGGTTTATCAAAAGAACACCACGCCGCACTTAAGGAATTAATTGAAAAAGATAATCTTATTATCCTTAAACCTGATAAGGGAGAAGGCGTTGTCATTATGAACAAATCGGATTATCAAAATAAAATGAATGATATCCTCAAAGATCAGTCCAAATTTCTGGTGGACAATGCTACTGATAATGTGCTGCTTGTGGAAAAGCAGATCAACCTTCAGCTTCAGATTTTACTGATGCACGGTTTTATAGATGAAAAGCTCTATAAACAACTTAAAGCAATTGGGTCACATACTCCCCAGCTTTATGGCCTTCCGAAGATCCACTAAACTGGAAACCCGCTGAGACCCATCTTAGACATATCGAGTTCTCCATACCACAAAATTGCAAAATGGATTACAGAAGTCCTTACGCCTGTAAGAGACTCATTATCAAATCATTCTTTAAAAAGTTCATTTGATCTAACAGATACGCTAGACACCTTGAACATCAAGGATAAAGTTATGTGTTCAATTGACATAGAATCTTTATTCATCAATGTTCCCCTTAATGAAACTGTTGATTTCACTTGCGATTACATCACAAGCAATGAAATAAACTTACCTATTCATGTAACTTACATCAGAGACATCATCTTAATGTGTACAGAAAATATTAGATTCACCTTTCAAGAAAAGGCATACAAACAAATTGATGGTGTTGCGATGGGTAGCCCTCTTGGGCCCCTGTTAGCAGATATGTTCATGTCGAAATTGGAGAGACAAATGCAAGGTATGCTTGGAGAATTTATACTGTATAAACGTTATGTAGATGATACTCTCATTATTGGTGATAATATTAAATCTATTGAAAACTTTATTACTCTATTTAATCATATTCATCCAAATATCCGAGTGACTTCCGAACGCGAATCGAATAACAAACTCGGTTTCCTCGATATTACAATGACCAGGAGAGATGATGGTACGATTCAGAGATCTATTTTTCGTAAACAAACGTGGAGTGGACAATATCTTCATTTTACCAGTTTTGTTCCTATCCAGTATAAACGTTCCCTAGTGAAATGTTTGTTCTCAAGGGCCCGAAAAATATGCACGAGTGACACAGTGATGGATGAGTTTCGACATATACATTCAGTTTTATTAGCTAATGGTTATCCGGAAAACTTTATCACTTGTCACAGTAATGAAAGACCACATCTAGAAAAGACAGCTTCTGTACCAAAGAAAGCTATCTATCTTTATTAACCTACCATTCAAGGGTGATCAGATTATGCAGTTGACAGCTCAAAGACTTCGGTCAGCCATCAAACGCACATTCTACGCCGCATCTCTTTTCCTCACTTGCCGAACATTTTCAATCCCTGTACCTACGATTAAAGGACGAAATTCTGTGGACTCTACTTCAAACTGTATCTACAAGTTCACCTGCAGCTGCGGTGACACCTATATAGGTAGAACCAACAGAATGTTCCAATGTCGTCGGAAAGAACATGTTCCAAAATGGCTACTAAATCACATAGAAAATCCCAATGCCAGTAATCTGAATAGAAATCCAGCATCATCCATTGCAAAACACTTATTAATGTCAGGTCACAAAATCAATATTAATGACTGTTTCACAATTATTTCACACATAACTCTAATTCAAGGTTGGTTATTAAAGGTGATGGAAGCACTTTGGATTAATCACATACAGCCTAAACTGTGTGTACAAAAATCAATAGACTTCAATCTTCGCCTACCCTGGACTACTTGACCTATCTAAATATGATTGGTCATTAGTATGTACTTTTGTTTTTATTTAACTGAGTAATTGTCATGAAATTTATTTTATTATTGTTAACCATGTTAGTTGTAAAGCGGTTGTAAAGAAACTACGAAATGACGATATCATCTCGCGAAATTTGTCTTCTTAATGCCTTATTCATATATAACTTTGTATTTCTCTCATTCTTTGCATTATAAATGGAAAAAGCAGATTCAAGCTTTAAAGTAAAAGTAGTCTTGACGATTTTTATGGGATGTATTTGCTAGTCTCACCCCCAACCTACCATCTTTTCGGGTTAATTGTCTTCGAGAAGGCCTTTGGCAGAGTTGATCAAAAAGTAATTCGGAAACTAATTCAACACCATGGTGTTCAGTGACCAAATCTTCACCAATCTCACTCAACAGATGGCTATATGACAAAGCCTTCCACGTGTCAGTCAAGTGATCCTAAACGGAAGACTCAGCAAAGCCTGGCTTTAAAGTTAATACAGGAGTAAGACCAGGCTGCTACTTACCATCACCAAGATGATATTCCTGACTTTGGTGGACTGCCTTATGTGGAAGACTGTGAGTGGGGAGTGAAAAGACAGAGGAATACGTTGTCCTGATAACAAGAGTCTAGAAGATGTGGATTTCACAGGTGATTTGCGCCTATATCACAGAAACGTGGAGACTTTTAGGCAGGCGAAAACCAACAGACTGGCAAAAGAGGCAGACAGACAGCGAAGACAGTACTAACTCCAGGTGAGCACAGAGAAGGTGGAGACGTAGGTGGTGAAGATAACTAACCAATAGCAAAAACGACAACCAGCACCAATCACCATCAACGGGAGTGAGAAATTTGACAGAGGTCACTTCCTGCCTTTACTTATCTGGCCAGGAAGCTAGCACGGTTTCAACCGCAGGTGGGTAGCCGGACAGCACGGAGGAGGATGTCAAAGCCAAACAGAGTCGGAAAAGCAAGATACGCCTTCATCAGCCTGAAACCAATTCGGAAATATTCTCCAGTCACTCACTCAGAATAAATAACCCGACTAGGATTCCGTTCAACAAAAGTGCGAAGTCAGTCAGTCACTTCTTCTATACTGGTCAGAAACTTACACTGTGCGTGAGTCACGAAACACTTTTCCAACAGGCTAGTACAGACTTTTATCAACATCCCACTTTGTTTGCTCAGTACTGAAGATCAAATGGCCGGCCGACCGGCCAACTGGCCAGAAAGAATTAGCAAGAAGAGACTCTGGAGATGAATAAACCAACAAAGCAAGAGCCGACTGCTCAACCAATAAATATGTAGGAGAAAGTAAAGATGGATGGGAAATACACACCAGTGAGGAGGCCATCGGTTGAATGACATCGTGTGCAATGCAGGCCATTGCTCGGGTGTAACCCGAATGGGAAGTGACGTGTAGGTCGTCATAGGTTGAAAAAGAGGAGATCGTGTGAAGAAGAGATGACATATTATGGGCAATCGTGGACTCAGTTGAAGAGGATGGCAGAAAATAGATGAAAGTAGAGATGTGTTCTTGAAGCTCTATGTTCCACTCGGAATCCAAGGGAATAATAAATAAATAAATAAACTAGCCATCGTCATCAGCAAGTATTTGTCTTCACCCCTGATCGGATGGACGCCAAGTACTGTTTTGGAATAAAGCAAATTATTATTAATGGTTGCAACTTTCCGCTAGAACTCCAGGAAACGTCCTCCTGCAGCCAGTCACTAGCGAGCCTTAGATGACATCTATCCGCGGTGAAACTCTTGGAAAGATATATTTCTCAAAACAATTTCTCCGCGTATTCAGTGAAGAAAGTTTTCTTTATCCAACCAAAATCATCTTCAGAGGCTTGACAGTCGTATTTATATTTACCGGAAACCTTTGGTCGCTTAATTTTGAGTAACAGCGGTGGGGGGAGTGGCATAATTGATACGATAACTTAGGAGTGGTTTCTAAAGGTTCGAAAACTACGTTATGGTCATAGATACATCGTTTCAAGGAGGGATGAAGGCTTGTTTGTCGTGAATCATGCAGCTGTCCAGAACAGGCTACAGAGAATCAAGTGAAATGTCGACGTGTTTCTGGAGCTTTTTGTTCCACTAGGAACCCAAGGAAATATCATTAATTTATTCAAGTATTGTTTTGTAGGGATTTGATTGGTTACAGGATTTTCATCATGAGCTGACATTAGTTAGAGAACCACTGGAAAACCTGGGAGTACTGGACAGCTGTTTCGCCCTAGTTTGGGACTCTTCATCAGTACGCACCCACAAATATTTCTTATATTACAAATGTCTATCAGTAGGTTTAACCTATAATAATAATGCTTTTCTTATGTTGAGATTACATCGATGATAGCTGTGACTGTATGCATTTTTTTGGATATACCTAGGTAGCTGAAAATAATGACTAGGCAATGCCACCACTAAACTCAAAGACTCATTAGAGAGATCAGTGATGAGGCATTTATTGAAGCCGAATTTTCTTATATATTATTATATTATTTATTATTCCCTTGGGTTTCGAGTAGAACATAGTGATTTAACAACACATCTACACTTTCTTCTATTCTCTGCCGCCTTTTTCAGCTGGCTGGGCCCGCGATTACTGCCTATAATTGCTCATCTCCTTCGCGTCAACCTCGCACTGACCACACACTCATCGCTTCCCATTCACCTTCCTTAGAGCAGTGGCCCACATTGCACGCAATGTCATTCGACCAACGGTCTCCTCGATGGCGTATGCCTGATCAGTCCATTTCCATGTTCTCCTAAATGTTTGCTGAGCAGTCAGCTCTTGCTTTACTGGTTTCGCT